GTTCTATATCTTTTATATCTATTCGATTTGAGTGCTAGTTTTTGCTTTAGGGTGTCGAGGTATTCTTCCGGTGTTTTGTTGTTTGGTTCGTGTCTAGTATGTAGTCTAGTATTATTAAATATGGCAGTTACTCTATCTACTACCTTTTTTGATCTATTGTTGTGTGCAATGTATTGAGTGAGTTTTCCTATATCTGACCTTAACTTACTTATTTGTCGTTCTAGTCTTATTTGCCACGCGGGTTTACGATCTTGTGAATGTCGTTTAGGTCTATCATTATCTTGCAGTTTATATCCTAGCTCGTTTGATATAACTGATGCAGTGCAGTAAATTAATGTATGAATATCACTAAGTTTTGAATCAATTGTTACGTATTTTTCTAGTAGACTATTATTAAATATATGAACTAATTTGAAAAGGTGTTTGCTGTATTTTAACTTAGGTAGTATAGGACGTGCTGAAGGATCCATTCCGGAAAAGAGTAAAATAGCGCTTTGTAATTTTTCATCCAGGTCTAATACTATCGTGCTTTCGTTCCTATTTTCAACCGCAAGAGATTCTACTTCGTTTTCTATTAATAATGTTATAATATCTGTTTGAGTGCTCATGTCTGATGTCGAATGTTGTGTTGATACTGTATGCCCGATGTATGAGTCAGATGTATGAGATTGATGTTGTGTATGACTTAGTGACCTAGGTACATTATTTATGGTACCGTGGTTATGAGTGGGAGAATAGTATGAGTGTGGTTGTGTGTTTGGGAAGTCATGTATGAGATTCTGTGAGTGTAAGGGTATGTTATGTTCTATGTTTTCTTCCTCTTGAAGTTTAATTTTTACTTCCTCTTGTAATTTATTTAGAACTTCCGTACTTAATAGTTTATTCCTAACGATAACTCTCCTTTGATCTGCTATCCTTTGTTCTGTAACATTTATTTCTGGGTATTGTTGTATGAATTTTTGATGTAGAAGTGTTCGGTATGTAGTTAGGTCTGTCTCTAATTTGGTGATATAGTAATATGTGCGCATGATAAATGTATTTACTTCAGGTGACCATCTCATGCGCACTCTGGGTTTCCCAGCCTTCGTGGACGCAGGTAAAAAGGTCTCTTGGACCACCTGCGCAACAGCAAAGGTGGGGTTTTCGGCTTCCCTAGACTCTTCGTCCGTTGGAAGAGGTGAAAGTGAAGGTGCATACGATGTTGTACTTGGACTAACAGCCGGCAACGATTTCAGAGCTTCAATTTTGCGTGGGTTTGGTCTTATTTGTCCAGAAGATATAATAAACCCTAGATATTCAATTTTAGTTTTCATAAATGAACATTTTTTTAAGTTAAAAGAAAAACCTGTTTTGGAAAGAGTTTCCAATAATTTATCGAGTCTGGCTAAGCCTTTTTCGATTGTTTCTGATGCAGAAAGTACGTCATCCATATAGACAAGGATTTTATCGTCGTTGAGTTCTTTGAGAGATTTATTTATAGCTCTTTGGAAAACCTGTGGAGCATTTCGAAGTCCAAATGGCATTCTCAGATACTCAAATTGACCAGTGGGGGTAACAAATGCAGTCTTTTCTATGGAGTCTTCGTCAACTTTAATCTGGTGAAAACCAGAGGCCATATCAATGGTGGAGAAAAAATTCGCTCTATATAATTTATTTATTTGGTCACTAATAAGTGGAAGGGGATAGCTATCAGGTCGTGTATTTTTATTTAATTCCCTATAATCGACACACATACGATCACTGCCATCTTTCTTTTTCACTAGTAAAATGGGACTTGCGAATGGTGACGAGCTTTCCCGGATAATTTTAGCGTCTAGTAGTTCCTTAATTTTGACATTAACGATATTTAGTTCGGCAGGAGATAATCTGTAGGGACGCCTATGAACTATTTTGCTGGGATCAATTAAATCTATCTTTAAGACACCAGTGCTGACTTGTGTAGTTGGCAATTTATTTATAAAGTGGTCAGCGTATTTATTTAAAATATTTATCAAGATTTCTTTATCGTGACCTATTAAGTCAGTATCTATATATTGCGAGTCAAAATTATATTTAGAACAAACGTTACTGATTTTGGTTTTAAAGAAAGTCAGTTTCTCATTGTTAATTTCAACGGATATTCCATTTTTCAGTATATCACGGCCTAATAAAACCTCTTCGCTTAAACATTCGTCTGGTAATACGTGAAAGAAAATTTCTAGAAGAAGCGTTTGAACGTAAACCTCACATTTTAGTTGTAAAGAAGAGATAACGTTGTTGCCACCTATTCCTTTTAAAATTACTTGTTCATGAAATCTTTCACCGGTCAGTAAGTTGCTTTTACTTTGTTTTATAAGACTGCATTCTGATCCAGAATCAAAAATAAATGACAGTTTCATACCACTAGTTTCTAGAGTCCCACGAGATGGCTTGCTGCACAGGTTGACTTGCTTGCTGCTTGAAGCGTCGTCTTCTTTTTTCGTGTACCGCTTGGGGCAGGCGCTGGCTATGTGGCTGGTGTCCAGGCAGACGTAGCAGTAGGACTTAGTCTTCGAAGAATCTGGTTTAGCTGACATAGAAGTATTTTTAACGATTGAGCGATTTTTATATCGACACTCGCTTCCCCGATGTCCTGTTTTGCCACAAAAATGACAGGAACCTTTAAATGGCATAGAAGGGCGGAACTTTTTTTGTTCCATTTCCGACGTGATAGAGTCATCGTTATACCTCTTAAGTGTGAAGCTTCTTAAAGTACGAAAGAGTTGATGCTTATCATTAATAATTACAGAGTTTAACTCACGACGTATTTTATCATCACATTGAGATAAAATCGAAATTGCAAAACCCGTTGTAACATTTTCAGGTAAGTTTGCGTTGGGGATTTTTTCTATAAGCTGCCATAAGCGTGTTCCTGCTTCAGCTGGGTTTTCTTTGTTACCAAGGTGAAACTTAATAACCTGATCAAAATAGTCTTGCATCATCATTGGTTTTGAAAATTTTGAGATTAATATTTCCTTAATAGCATGCCAGGACATGTTATCTGGCCGTATTTTTGTAAGACAGGTCGCGGCGCGACCTTTAAGAGCGTGAGTGAGTGCAATAATGAGGTCAACATCCTCCAAGTTCTTTTTTTTGATAATCATTTCGCTTAAGGTACACCAGTCTTTTACGTCGGAATTCGCGTCATCGGGATCGAATGCCACCAATTTAAAGGGGGTAGGTGGATTGACGGGATTCTGGTTTAAACTATTTGATAATTTTAATAAAATTGCTTCCATTCCGGAAGAAAAAAGAGACATTTGCTGATCCATGCAGTTGGTTGAGTTGGTTTGCTCATGAGATGGAGGTGGATCCGATCCCACTTCTGATGTAGGAAGAGGATCGGCCATAGTTAAAATAAAGAATGAAGTTCCTTGATAATAGTTTATTCAACCAAATACAGAGAAACAGCAATCACAGGTTAATTAATCATTAAACTAAACAATGTTATAAATCCAACAATAAATAATACCCGGGTATAATTAGTCTAGGGACCAAATTATAACACCGGAATAATAATTAATTCGATTCCACAAATTAATTATCCAGAGCGTCTAGGTTAAGCAAGCGAGGTACAACTAGTGCACCGAGCCACGCCAGAGCCAAGACTGCCTTTAAAATGATCGTTGCACGTCTTTTATACCGGCAAAGCTAGTAGTGGGGAGAGTGGGGGCATCAAATGACGCGCTCGGTGGCGTGATCGGTGCACGTGTTGTTTACAGTTTCGCGCGGGCGCCGACATATATGTGTTATCCTCTGTGCTGTTTGTGTGTACATAAATTATTAAATAAATAAATAATAATTTAGTACCTGCAAATAACCGAGTTATTGTGACAGTTACTAATGAATTTATGACACGACTGAAATTGTCTATAAATAAATATAATAATAACATCACGTCTTTTATTCCCGAAGGAGAAGGCAGAAGTGCACTTTGCGGCACTTAATGCCACTGTACCATGTAACACCCACTTTTCACTATCTATATTATGAGTCCCATGTAATAGGGAGCATATTGCCATATACCGGGCACAATTCCATACTTCATACTACCACTGAGATTTTTTAATAAACCCAGTTATATTTTGCCCGACCTGGGAATTTAACCCGAAACCCTTTGCCCGGTGGCATTTGCGACCGCTCGGCCAGAGGGGCAGTCAAATCATTAAATATACGAATCCTAACTACTAAGCTATCATCAAAACTGTAATTAATAGCACGCACCACCACGGAGACAATTGTGTATGTCCATGAATTCATACTTACTAATCTTATACTACTATTATAGATATAAAGTTTGTTTTTTTGTTTGAACTAATCTCCGTAACTACAAGTCTGATTTGAATAATTCTTTTTGTGTTGGATAGCGCATTTATCGAGGATGGCTATAATGGACAGTGAAACAAGGCTACTTTTTGTCTCTTTCTTCCTAAAAAAAGGGAGGAGGAAGTTTGGATGGATCCTTCTGCAATTCTAAAAATTGGCCATGCAAACTGCTTGTGAGGAACAAAAAGTATTCCATGAGATTTTTTATCTGCCCCTAACGTCTTAAAAAAGCGTGAGTGAAGCCGCGGCCAAAAGCCTAGTTAGAAATAGATATTTTCAAGTCACAATTAAATCTTAAAACATTGTAATTAAACTGTCAAACACCAAGCGGTCACCGGTGACCGCAACCTATTGTTCTATAAAACCGGTACTCGACGAGTTAAAGGACATTCTAAAAGATTTCGAGTACAGTTGTATCACTTTTAAATGACATAAGTACGATGATATAAATGATTTAACATGATCTTTTGTATACGAAACAATTGAATAATCTCATCAAAGTCCTGGCTTTGTTTACGACGCGGCGTCGCGTCGTCGTCGCGACGCTTCTAACAAAGTTAATTACGTGTGTTAGTAGAGGAGTACGCTCACGGCGATGTCACTTTTTAATATCGTTAATACAAATATTCTTTATAGTACAACATAAAGTCTGTAACAACACTAAGTGTAGGAGAGCCATGCATCAGCACGACTGGGCGTACTTACTCAACTATAGTGATACCACCGGCCTCACAGAAAACCGACGTGAGGGTTGTGTTTCGTCGTGTGAGTGAGGGTACCGAAGACCCAATTACCCTCCTCCCTAATCTCCCCAATTCCGTCGCGGAGAACCTAACGGGTTACCGGGGCTCCGGCTCGACGTGCAGGAGAAGGAACGGGTGGTTTTTAGTCAGTAAGAGTCTGACACTAAGGCGGGAGCAGTCATTCGATGATTTCCCCCTTAAAAAAATCTTCCCAATCCCTAAAAATCCTCAAATACCTAATCCCCGTTGTTACGGGGTTTTTGGGAATTGGTAACAATTCTGCCTCTGGTGTTCCAGGTGTCGATGAGTGGCGCCGATTCCTTACCATCAGTTGATCTGTCTGCTCGCTTACCGACCTATTCCGTAAAAATATATATTACAGTTAATTAATATCGATTCTTTTAACGATGTTTGTGTAAAATTACAATCATTATCGTTGGCAGCGATCTCTTCCAGATTGCTTTCGGATGGATATAAAGGTTCCAATAATCGTTTTTCTGTTAAATATATCAATGATATATATGCCTTTAATTTACATTACTTATTACACGTTATGCAAAATTTTAGCGTTTGCGAGAGTTACAAAAAAATATTCTTTTAATATTATATACAAAATCAATCGTCGTCTAGTTCAATGTGTAAAATTAATCAATCAAATAAGGCAAAATTACTGTATATTTGAAATATGAATCAGAACAAATTCTGAAAACTGACAATACCAAAATGAAACCGTAAATACCAACACGAATTATATTAAATAGTTGTAGTGCCAGGAACTTGTTAATTCTCGTAAAAGGTATCAATTTATTACAATATATGAAATACAACACAAAAATAGCAACACTTAAGGGTTTAACACAAACATTCCAGCGCACTCGTTCTCATTAAAATTGACCAAATAATTACAATTACCATGTGTATTGTGGCAGCTTCTCGCGGTTTATTATATATTATTATTTACAGGTTTATTAATTATTAGTCTGTAATGACTACAATTAATTATAGGGGTGCACTACTTACTTTTATTTATTTGTATGAAGATCATTCACATCATCCCCTCCCCCCCTCCGGCACAACCCCTTGCCCGGTAGTCGCACTTGCGACCACTTGGCCAACGAGCGAGGAAATAAGTAACATTTTGTGTAATGGTCCCAGGAATGGCAGGTAATAGTATAATGCACACTAATTTTAGTAGTTAAATACATTCATCATATCTGTTTATTATAGGATACTTAACTGCCTCATTGGTTTCGGATGCGATTCTCGGGTTAGGCAAAGTATAATTGTATTTTTTTTTTAATTTCAGTAGTTTTCACGGACTTTTGAAATTCGATTCAAGACTCCGTGCTTCAGAGCAATAGACTGCTGAGTAATAGGCTCACCCCCACATAGGACTCATAACATAGAAGATGAATAGTGGGTATTACATTGTACAGTGGCATTAAGTGCCGTAATGTGCACCTCTGCCTACCCCTTCGAGAATAAAATGCGTTAAGTTATATTAGTTATGTTATAGGACACTATAAAAAACTTTTAAAGATCGACAACAATATATTTCTAAAAAAAAAACATACATAAAGCTTTGGTTTCTCCCATCAGAGCGTACTTATCCCGCATGCATACCAACGAGTCATGTTAAACGTAAAACCGATTGCCACGAAACCGTCTAATATAAAACAAAAGGACTAATTTGACATATTAGCGTGACGGAACCGTGACAAAGTGGCTGGGGGAAGGGGGGGTTTTATTAAAAATACCTCGAATGTCATGTGAACTTGTGGACCATGTATGCCGGATTAATTTTTAGCAAGGAATTTGTTTGCTCTCAATGCAAACAACAAATGTATGTTAGAATATATTCATTCAATATTGATAGAGATTAAATCAAATCAATTTTATCATAAAAAATGGGTGATAGCTTCGGATTTCTATTTTGTTTGCTGAATATCTGATGGAACATTGCTTTTATTTGTTTAGGGCTCTGCTTTATTAGAGGGGCCTTTTGGAATTTGAAGCAATGTGTGGATGGAAAAGATTTTTATAGCTTTTGTGGTACACTGTCACAATATCTTTAAAGAAACAATGCCTAGACACTAGATCTTTCTAATACAACTGATTTTGAAATCACAAACATCAATGTCTAATTATTTATTTAAAAAGCTTTATGCACACAAACAAGCACATGGGTGGACTTAATGCCGCAGGCATTTTCTACCAGTCTGACCCTTGGGTGATGCAGAGAGAGTAATCAGCGGGTGCAAGAACATGCGTTGAATTTAACTATTTGAAAGAACACATTTACTCTATTATGTATTGTTGACAGACTGACGGACAATTCAATTGGACGTTTCAAACGTGCCTAATTAAGCATTCATTGAAGTAAATACTTTGACTTTGTAGTCACAACCACATCACCAAAAAAACAGCTAATTTTCTACTCACACAGATAACTATTACATAACCACTGAACAAAATTGGTAGCCAACTCAAGAGGTCCTCACTTCAGGCTAACAAGTGGCTCAAGAAAGGCTTCTAACATAACCTAGATTGCTAAAAATACACCCTGAATGGACTGGGATCAATTGAGTATTGATCCAAAACAAACAAACAGACAAACGATATGTCTTTGTGAATATTGTGTTGAAGTGAAGGATCAGTATTGTCGAGAATACTGCCCATTGTGCGCTTAATGATGATATTTTTATAAAGTAAATATAATATACTCCAGAAAATACCTAATAATAGATATAAACCATCTATTTACCTGAAGGAGGATACACAATATAATGGAAACACATGCTGTTTAGGTAGTTAATAATAGTCACATTATTATGCTATAATATACCTATAGTATAGGCTACAGTAACTTATGTTGAATGATTAAATACATTGATCTTATATAATGCTACAAAACTTTTGTCAGGAGTGACAATTTTGTTTTTAATGATAGCTCTAGCTTTTTTACACCAAAGCACTTTTACAAGGTTGCACTAAAAATAATTAAATAATCCGTAAAGTGTAAAGTAGACCAAAAGCTCGCCCTATTAAATAAATTTCACTGAAATAAGCCAATAAATACTAATTTACAGATGGGAACCGAACCCACAACGACCACAACCCTTAGTTTCGACCGCGCTAAATTAATTCCCCAATTTAAATAGCTTAACTTTTTAAAAGCTCGCAGACTAAGTTATACATAAGTTAGTAACTTTATTGATTCCACTCTGACGGCTTGTCAGTCTAAATCTAAAAATTATAGAATTTTCACAAGATTTTAATTCCTTTTGAATTAAACTTAGTTTTTGTACGTCTATAAGCTTTTTATTAATTAATCCTTTTCGTAACTTCATTATCAACTGAAAGGTGCTGTCTGGCAGGTATCGATTAAATTCTCTGTGCGCTTTTGTAGGACAATGGATTCAATTGCCCTGTTTATGAACTAATATGGGAATATTTCAACAAAAAACATTGCCAAAATTTACAAAACTTGTCATTTCACAAATAGCAAAAGATACGCAGCCGGTAGGATTCGAACCTACGCTCCCACTGGGAATCTGATTTCGAGTCAGACGCCTTAACCACTCGGCCACGACTGCTTGTTGCAACTGGTCGAAATAGCCGTACCCATCGGTAACTACAGTTTGCATTATGCAGTTTTTTGCAGCA